GAACGTTTTTCTCAGTGTTAGAAATCTGGATTTTAATGCAATAGAAGATTAAATAGATATAGACAACACACCTGTTACTGTTAGGCACTTTGTACCAAATTGGTTTAAATGACAATGGAAACACACCAATATTTCATTTGGCTTCATTCGGTCTCCCAAACATAGACGATTACATTTAAGTTGGGTCCCCCTCAATATCAAGCTCTCTCCTCCGTCCTTGGCTACATCTTCTGTTTTATCCAAAATAACAAATAGGACGTGTACTGGAATCTTTTTTTTTTTTTTTACAGCTGAGCAAGTTCCCAGCTCAAAGCAAGTTTCTTATATAAAAAGTTAGCGATCCCGTGTATAAAGAGTCCATATAGTTGAATAATAAGATGAGCAACTCACCTGTATCATCAAACTGTACCTGCTTACAGTTTGCGCTTGATTGCCAGGGGCAGTTATACACCGCGCCTCTCTCCAGGACGGCCGACACTGACGCGTTGGCTTTCGGCGCGCCTATCAGGACATTTAACCTGAGCGTGGACGGAAATTAAATGCATTAAAGTCGACGAAAAGCCTCACTCTCATCACTGACCAGCAGCTCAGATTATAAATAGTGCAGCTATATTCACGCTTCACTATCACTTGCGATCGACGTACTTTTTCAACCTTTATTTTTCACAGATTTGTAAAACGACGACGACGCCGTATGTAATAAAAAGTACAGTAACAGATACGAATTACCCCAGATATAGCGTGAGATCCGGCATGGAGTAAATGCTACTACGCCAACTTAACTTTCTTTACCTACTCAGCTGTAAAACTAATAAGACCAAAAATAATGCTTGTTGAAAATCCTCCCGTTTTATGTAAAGCAACACCGGGCGATATTTCTTAAACATCTTAAAAGTTTAAAAGGAAAACGTTTCGCTTAAACACATAACGCGCAGAGACGCACAAAAGTGAAAACTTACTGTCTGTCATTGGGCTTGAAAAAATCCACAGAGAAGCCGAAATAACTTCCCAACGGGCCGGAATAAACCGACGGCTTTTCAATATCTAAATTAAAAGAATGGCTATTTTTAAAGTGTGGAAAGACGAGACACAATAGCAAACAGATCGTGCGTCGGTAGTCCATCATGATTTCCAGCACGCCGCAGCCCTAGACGGTGAAAACGGTCTTTCAGATGCCGATGCAGCCTAAAACGACTAATCCCACTTTCGTACAGTTAATATCCTCCCCCTCCAAACGCATCTGATGTCCCACGGCGCTTTCACTAGCGTCCCGGAAAGTAATGCATCTTATCCACAAACAAGGAGCAAACAGCCATGCTACTCCTACTGGAATGCACCGGCTCACCGAGCGCTAAAGCCCGTCCTGAGCCGCTAGCGCCGCCACGATCCCTCCCCAGCCACACTCATGCGAGAAAACGAGCAAACTACAGGAAGTGGAGAGGCATCCTGAACTTCCAACATGACACTCACTTCCGCAGTTTTTTAAATTATTTATTTAATCAGTGGAAAGTACTGATGAGATGAGACCAGTACGGAATCTGCCAAGTAATTCTTTTCCGACTCATGTAAACATCCCTTTACGTCACAACGATATGAATATAAACATCTAAGCATGTGTTTAACTGTGTTTTTGTCTTATGTCCATGTCTAGATGATACTGTGTTAGCCTTATATATCTTATGTTTAAATCTTAAGTATTTATATGATCTTTTTTTACACAATGACCAATAAGGAACTATATGTTATCGAAGTGGATGACGCATGCACCAGACAGCTGAGACGACGAAGTTTTTTTTCACTAAATAAAATTAAACACAATGTCTCAATTAAGACGATCAGTAAAGTTGGTAGAAGTGGCCGGAGTACTCCACAGTTAAACTCACTAACAAAACACGCACTCAAATTGTTTTAATGTCTATCCACAGGTCGATTCGTTACGTTATTTTCTCCGCGAAATCTGATAGGGATAGAATTGACCAATGAACACGTTTTCAAATAAATTATAATTTAGGATAGACGGTAGTTGTTCTTGGGATTTGTAGGCCTATACTTTAATTTGTTAAAATGCACATCCACGTTTTACATATTTAGTTGTTTTTTTGTCACAAGTTATGTTGAACCATCTGTGAACCATTCAGTCTGAACACGTACTGTAATTAACAGTTAATATAAATCGCCGATGCCCTTGTGCTTGGCCCCGATTAAAATCCCACTGCAAATACACGATTTGGATAATGCTTTCACAAAACACAATCCACGTTAAAATTAGTCATCTGACGAATACTTTTCCTATTACAGGACAGGCGGCCGATTTTGTCACCGTTTTTCAGTATTGAAATGAATTATTCACAAGTGCTAATGTGTTACTATTCAAAAGCACAAACGATTGGTTATTGTCCTGGTCAAGAAAATAGTAATTGAACTACTTGACTGTTGGCCTCTGCTGGTCTAACAGGCACATCCATTCCATTCTGTTTCCTTAAAAATGACATTTATGGACAACATGTGCCTTGAGATACGGTCATATTTAGCCTTTCCCCTCCCTCTAAGTGCTGCTATGAAGTCCGCACTCAAGAATGCAAGCCGTCACTCCCCCAGGACCGTTGTACAAGGGCATTACGCTGGAGTAAAACGCTGGAATAAAACGTGAAATGCCCGGTGCCTGGAAAAGATACTTCCACATTTCACAGAAAAATAATGTATATGTATGAAAAAAGTAATAATTAACAGGGCTAATTATGGTCCTCAAATTGCTCACGAATAAGTCATAAATAAAATCTGAGTCATCTGTGTTTGTGGGTTTATAATTAAGCATCTGGATAGGATGACGATTCTTCGTTGCCTTAAATTTCCTCAGAACACGATGTGAAACTAATTGCGCGAAACTTCAACGCTAGAGGTTAAGCCTTAAAATGGAAACGGTTTCAGGCTCATAAAAAAAACAGAAAGAAGTATTTCGATTTGCAAATTTTAGTGCTCTGGTTAGAGTTGTCAAACCTAGCAGTATGTGTTCAGCCATATTTTATGCGATGGAAAACAAAGTATAATTAACCATTTACCCACTGTATTTTTGTGGTTAAACAAAAACAGCATTATACTATGAAGTGAACAAAATTCAATGAATAGAATACAAAATTTCATATCAAATGAATTAGGTAAAAAAAAAAACCTACTCAGTGTCAATTGGCTAAACTGACTCTGGGCAGAGAAAAGCTGCTTTTCGGCACCTGAACAAAACAATCCAAACGCATGAAGCATTTCTTGTCCACCAGGGAAAAATCGTGCACTGGTGCCTGGTGAGGAAGATGCCGGATGTTGACCAGGTGAGTCAGCTAATGGTCAGCTGATCGCTCTTATTTGAAGCTCCAGGATCCAGAGAAAAATAAAGCACATCAGGTCCTTATCACCCCACCCAAGTTTCTTCACTTGTTTGGATGCAAAGCATCCTCTCACCACCAGGGTCGACAGACAAGACGTAAGGAAATAGACTTTCTTGGAAAGGTCTCTTCTTGCCATAGGTATAACATCTTTAAATCACCAAATTGCTAGACATTTCAGCCAAACTACAGTGAAATTTAAAATCATATTCCCCCCCCCCAAAGGTTTTGCTGCCCTGTCCAAGATCCCCAAAATAAATCATTCACACACATCAGTGATAATTTCGTTGACGAAATATTTTCGTTATAATTTTCGTCAACGACAAATTTTCACTGACGAAAAC